CCCTGCTTGTTCTCTCTGTCTCTCTCAAAATAAATAAATAAACTTAAAAAAAAAAATACTCTTGATTAGACATTCGGGAACACGTTTCATGGTTGCTATTTTCCAGAAAAGGCCAGGCCCACCACCTGAACCCACTGACCAACCCCAGCATGGCCACGAGCGAGGCGGTCAGCACTGTTGCCTCCTGACGTGGGCTAAAGGGACACACGGAGCACCACCTCAAAGAACCATCGTCAAAAAACCCAAAGCAGTCAAATGTTGAATGCCAATTTCTACTTGGGGGTGGGAAGCGGGGTATGGGGGGCGGGTTAAGCAAAGTTAAATTTTACCACAAGGAGACAAATAGACTAGTTTAAAATGGGGGACGTTCTCAGGACAATGGATCTACTTCTTTCAAAGCGTTGGCGTGAAACATCAAGGAGACACTTGGGAAAGAGAAACTCCCTAGCTTAAAAAGGTTTCAGAGACATAACCACCAAATGCAGCATGAGGGGCTGGAATTGTGATTCAAGCGTACCAATTGTTTAAAAATAAAAATTAATGGGGCGCCTGGGTGGCCTGGTCGGTTAAGCGTCCGACTTCAGCTCAGGTCATGATCTCACAGTCCGTGAGTTCGAGCCCCACGTCGGGCTCTGTGCTGACAGCTCAGAGCCTGGAGCCTGCTTCGGATTCTGTGTCTCCCTCTCTCTCTGCTCCTCCCCTGTTCATGCTCTGTCTCTCTCTGTCTCAAAAATAAATAAACGTTAAAAAAATTTTAAAAATAAAAATTAAGAAGGAAAAGAGAAGACCGAGAAATTTGAATATGGATTTGGTGTTAGGTGATACCAGGAGATTGTTGTCAAGCTCATTGGTATATAAAGATGGTCCTGTGTCTAGATTGAAAAAACAAAACAAAGCCCAGTTTAAAAAAAAAAAAAATACATACTGGGGTGGGGAGTGAAATAACAGGAAGTCAGGAATTGCATTAGAAAAAAAAAAAAAAGATGAAGCCAATGCAGCAAAATCTTGCTAATTGTCAGGTACATGGGTTCATTATACTGGTTTTTTCTACTAGGTTATTATACAATTATACCACTGTAATTGTATGTTCAAAATTTTTCATTAAAATGTTAAGAAATTAAAAAAAAAATGGGGCAGAAGAGTCAGGTTTTCCCTTGATCTTGTTATTCTTCCTTTTCTAGCTGCGGTCAACTTGGGCAACGGAACTCTCTGGGGCCTTTTCAACCGCGCCAGAACTGGACTGTGACCTTCACTGGCTCAATGACAATTTACCGTCTTTAGGATTTTCATTTATTCCTTTACATACTGGGTCTGAAAACAACTAGAAGGAAGCCTTTAAGCCTTGGGTTGTGCTAGACACTTTCATAAGGTCAGGGCGGGGCAGGAGGAAGAGGGGAGGACGATCCTGGTGGGGCGAAGGGCAAGCAGACCGACCAGGCTTGGTGCCCTTGTGAGGCTTACACGGGGTGCTCCAGGCAACGTGTCAGGGACTGGCTTAGAAACCCGCGGGGTTGAGCACTGGGTGTTGTATGGAAACCAATTTGACAAAAAATTTCATATTTTTAAAAAAAAAAAGAAACGCAAAAACAAAAACAAAAACACACACACACAAGAAACCCGCAGAGAAGAGGGGCAGAGCGCAAAAGACAAAAGCAAAACCAGGTAGCTGGGAGATGGTGGGAAAACACTGACGTTGGACTTAAGGGTGGGCTTGGACGACTTGACCTCTCTGGGCTTTAGGAACTTCACCCCCCCCCCCCCAGCGTGGCACCGGTAAAAATCCCTCCCCGACAGCTACTCAGGGAAGAGGAATCGGGTCTGAGTGTAGAAAGCAAATATTTATTGAGAATCTACTCTGTGCCAGGTGCTGTTATAGGTAACAGCAACACAGGGATTAATAAAATAAGAGTTTTGCCTTTGAGAAACTCTTCTTTCCGCGTGTACTTGGCCATGCTGACGAAGTGAGTGAGGATATAGAAACGAACTAAAAAAACAAACGTGTTGAAAGCCTGCTGTGTGACGGTCGCTTTGTCCTGTGTTCTGTTACCTCATTTTAACCTCGCGAGGACACTCCAAGGTGTTGTTCGCTTTACAAAGGAGGAAACTGGCCCAGAGACGCTCACCACGTTTGCTAAAACCACGCAGCTCGTACGGAGTTTAGGATGTGAAATCTCCCCAGACCTCCAATCCTCTCTCCTTCTCCACGGTTAGAAGCCAGCCATCTGGAGCGTTCTCATCTTTCCACAGCCAAACCGCAGACCTGTCTATACCAGCATCTAGCCTGTCCTTTCCCCTCTTGTTCAATGGAGAAAGCGTGCTTCTCGGTATCACACGGATTCTGGATCCCAGAACTTCTCTTGGATCTGTTTGTAGATATGGATTATCTTCTTTCACTCCCGCTACTCCACCTGGGGCTTTTCCACCAGATCCTTCCCATCAGCGCTCGACACTCAAGCCCCACATGTCTTTCTAGCTCTCGTGCCATCCCTCTGTTCCCTTCCACAGGGACGCTTCTTGAAAGAATTGTCTGCAACCCCGGTGTCCTCTGTTTGCTTCCTCACTTCCGGTTCCTCTGCCCCAGTCCCTTCCCCTTGCTGCCTGTATTTCTCCAGCAAAGCCGCTCCTGCCAAGTTCAAATGGCCCCGTGATTCCCAATCCATTCTTGTGTGTGTGTGTGTGTGTGTGTGTGTGTGTGTGCGTGCGTGTGTTTTCTTTCTATATTCTTAAAAATTGCTCTTTGTAGAGAGGGGTCACACTGCTAAATGTTGTTGCCACCCAGGTAATTGTATCTTAAATTTAAAGAACACTGAGCTTTTATTTTTTATTTGTAAAGTTTATTTTTATTTATTTTGAGAGAGAGAGAGAGAGAGAGAGAGACCGACTGGGGTAGGGGTGGAGAGCGAGGGAGACAGAATTTCCAAGCCGGCTCCATGCTGTTAGCACAGAGTCAGATGCGGAGCTCAGACTCATGAACCGTGAGACTGTGACCTGAGCTGAAGTCTCGAATCGGTCGCTTAACCAACTGAGCCACCCAGGTGCCCCAACACCAAACTTTTTTAAACCATGATTATTGAAAGGTAATTCACATACTTGAAAATTCACCCATTTAAAGTGTATGGTTCAACTGTTTTCAGGATATTCACAGAATTGGGTAACCATCACCACAGCCTTTAGACACCACAGAGTTTAGACATTTTTACTGCCCCCAGATAAACCCTTCAGCTATTAGTAAGGGCTCCCCCTCTCTCCCCTAGTCCTTGGCAACCACCAATCCACCTTCTGTCTCTAGAGATTTGCCTGTTCTTGACGTTTCATATAAATGGAATCATACAATAGGTGGTCTTTTGTGACATGTTGCTTTTACTTAGCTTGACGTTTGCAAGGGCCATCTGTGTTGCAGCCTGAATTGGTGTTTCATTCTCTCCCACTGTGTGGATACACCCCTTTTTGTTCATCTGTTCATTAGTTCATGGACATTTGCTTACTGGTCACCCTTCAGCTATTATGAATAATGCCACTATTGACATTTATGTAAAACTTTTGATACGGACATGGGCTTTCATTTCTTTCGGTCATACCTATAAAAAGGGAATTGTTGAGTCACATCGTAACTCAACCTTTGGAGAACTGCACGGCTGTTCTCCAAAGGAGCTGTGCCAGGTTGCATGTCACTGGCCATGTATGAGGGCTCCAATGTCTGCACATCTTCGCTAACACTTGTTATTGTCTGTCTTTGGTCTTTGGTCTTTAGCTATAGCTTTTCTTTGTCTATTATGATATTAGCATTTTTTAATAATTCAGCCCCTCTTCCCTTGGTGTTACTTGGACAGTCTTCATTTTAGGTTTATCTGATGTTTCCTCATGAGTAGATTCTGGTGACATGTCACGGGCCAGAACACTGCATAGATAGTACTGTGTCCTTCTTAGGGTGTCACATCTGGAGGCTCATGATGTCCATCTGTACCTCTTGGTGGCGCTAATTTTGGTCATCCGGTTGAGGTGTTGTTCAGTTCTCCACTCTATAATTACTATTTGTTTTTCTTCTTTGCAATTAATGGACATGTGTGGGGAAACCCTTTAAGATCGCTCAGATATTCTGCTCTTAGTCAAAATTTCCCCTAGATTTTCCTTCCATCAATGGCTCTTGCCTAATTCTATCTTTATCAGGATGGTTGCCAAGTGAGCATTTTCCAGCTACTGCCCTCCCTCTATATTTAGCAGCTGGTTCTTGGCATTAGGTTGTAAGCTAGATTTCTCCCTTATCCATTGATTGATTGATTGATTGATTGATTGTAAGAACATATGAATTTCTATTTTTCCTAATGCTTTATAATTCATTACTGTACTTCGCTGATTTGGCCGGTGGGAGTTTCTCTACTCTGTCTCCTTTGTCCTTGTGACAAACCCCAATCCTTCTCTCTTTCTCAGCTCCATCGAGGCGTAATTGACTAAATTGTAAGATATTTAAAGTGTACACCATGGTGATTTGCTAAACATATATACATCAGGAAAGGATTTCCAGCATCTAGTTAATTAATACATCCATCATGTCACATGCGCATCCATCCGTATTTGTATGCTCTTTCTTCTCTTGTGAAAACCCTGGATCTGTACATCAATCCATCCCCTCACTTCTCAATCTTACAATCATATACACTAGTTTCAGAAGGGCTTCCCCTGTACCATTACAATAAGCAAACCTACAAAAACGAGTTTGAGATTTGTTTATAATTCTTAAAATTCATAGAAGTGTGTAATGCGTATCATGAGAAATCTGAAAAATATCCTAGGGACTCAGAAACTTTCAATAAAAATCTCTTATAAGCCTGAAATACAAGCTCAGCTCTTGGATTGGAGTTGGATTTGGGGGTATTTTCTTTCTAAGGTGGAAAGGCAACTGTAATTTCCTAAGAGTAGCCTTTAATTGAAGACATGTTTGCAAATCCACTGTGTGATCCCAGAACTCATTCAAATAGGCATTTGTGCTCAATATGTCTCAGGTTTGGCCTTGTCGGAGCATGCCAACAGACAGCAGAATCACCAGCTACATTTTGCTAAGAGAGATTGTGCCAAACTGATGCACTTGACCGCCCGAGGAAACAACTCCCTGTTCTTCCAGGTGAGATTGAAACCTGCTTACCTTCTTCTTTCTTCAAAAAATCCACAGAAGCATCAAAAATTGTCTTAAATTAGACCCAGGCCAATCTGGAGATAAGCTCCATCCCTGTCTACTCCCCCTCATTATTCCATAATCACCAGTTTGCATTTTTTGACTCACTTCCTTTATCATAAATCCCTCTACATTTGTTGACTTCTGGCCGCGACAACAGGAATGCTTAGCAATGAAGAAAAGACTTAGTGCTGTGAACTAGAAGAGGAGACCCTCCCAATCTAGACAGTACAGATTGGAATGGAGTTGAGAGTTCAGAGGCCTAATAAGTTCCTTTCCTCCTTTCTCACCCATGTAATATACTAGTTGAGAGATAGGAGTCAAGCAGATGGAAATTGACATCTCTTTATTAATGATATATCTAGGTTGGACTATGTTGGTGGATGCTATATTGTACAACCAAAAACCCATTTCAGGAAGGAAGGACTCATTCCCCCAGCTGTACATCTTCCAGAAGATCAGCTGACGGCCCTCTTTGGGGATGGTCTTGGCTGAAGAAAACCACCTTGCCCAATCTCACCTTCCAGAGGCAGCCTATACCCAATGACTGGCCCAACTTGGGAATACCAAGACTTCACCCCACTGCAATTTGGGACAGGTCTGTAGGGTTGCTGAGGCTTCTGCTGGGACTGCATTGCTGCTCAACCTCTCCCTCTACCCAGTTTGCTTCCTCCTCCCACTGTCCAGAGGTATCAATCCCAAGAGCACTGCCTTGTCAATTTCCTATAGGCTAATCTCCAAATTTGTCTCCAGAAGAACCCAGCCTGGGATGCATGCAGTCAGGGAAAGCGTCCTGGAGGTTGCATTTGACTGAGCTGTAAGACTAAAAGTGAGACAGGCAAACCAAGAGTATGTGTGATTCATCCCAGGGAACAACATAGGTGAAGGCCAGAGAACTTCAAATCTTGTGTTCTGAGTCCCAACTTCCTTCCCTGTTCCATTTAGACCTACCCAGGGCCTGACATCATTTTGGTTGTATGCATTAATAAGGATGAGTGAGCTTTTTCCATGTATTTCAGATTGTGGATTGTACCTATTTGTTTGTTACAGCAGAAGCACAGAAACAAACAGTGCCAAACAGGAATAATAATGGCTCCCATTTATTGAGCTCTTACTATGCTCTAAGCCCTGTATTAAGCACTTGATACATATTCTCTTATTTAGGTCTCCTAAGATCCTCTAGGGCAAATACTATTATTGTTTCTAATTTTATGAATAAGAAAACTGAGGCTTAGCCAAGTTAAGAGACCTTCCTGTTCTCCAGCATCCAGTAGGACTCTTGGCCACCTACTATAGACCCCCTTAGACAGAGAACCATGAGGGAGCATATATGAGGATGGCAGAATCCGCAGCGGGTTGTGACCTCTCTTGGATGTGCACAGAGGGCCTGGCCGGAGGGCAGGACCTGCCTCAGGCAGCTTGAGGCTGGGAGACCTGACCTTGTGTGGCTTCCACCTCTCCAGCTCAGGTGGAGGTGGGTAGTAAGCAGAAAGGCCTCAGCGCTGAGGAGAGAGCCATGGTTCTGAGGCTGTAGACAGTTGCCTCTGCTCAAACTAAGAGAAACTTGATAGACCAGTTTTTCTTGCCTTTGGAAAAGAAGGTGCCAGCATAAGGCCAGTGCTTAGGGATCATTCAGAGATGTTTTTTCAGGAAACAGAAGGGAGTGGGGCCAGCAAGGCATAAAGGGAGGCGTTTAAAAAAAGAAGGCCTGTGTGTAGGTTTCCCTTGCAGATGGGGTTTCATAAACAAAAGACGCACCATGCCTCTTGGTTCTTTTGCTCAACCATCCAATCATGCATTTACCAATATCTATTGGGTGCCTACTATATGCTAGGCACTGTTCAAGGCACTCGGGCACAGCAGTGAACAAGACATTCAAGGTCCCAGCTCTTCTTGAGCTAATATGCTAGTGGGAGAAGATAGACCTACTCTAGTCTCCTAGCTGTCACTGGCCCGGTCAACTCCTGCTAAGCTTTGTTGGCCCGTTGCCTGATCAAGGGATGGTACCTGGGCTTCTGCATGATCATGGTCAAGGACGGGCAGGGTGTGGAAGTGTTGCTTGTCACCCCCACTACAACCTCCCTGTGGTAGGAAGGCTGGATTCCACATTATTCTCTTAATGGAAAGAGCTAATGCCAAAGCCATTAGCCTAGGCCTGTGGGTAAGAGGGCCCCAAGAGTCCAGCCCTAATCCCTCTGTGCCCCATCCCTGGCAAGAGGGGTGAGATGAGTCCAGATGACCCTTACCCATGCATCAGGAGCTACTCTATGGCCAGTTCTCTAAAACCTAGCAGCCTGTTGGGATGGCACCTATCATGAGTTGGGGCCTCCAGGCCCTGCTGCATGAAACCAAGTTCTTACTTCTCATCAAGGACTTTCTCTTGAGTGGGCAAGTCTGCTGAACTTGGGGCCCCTTTGTTTAAAGCAAGAACTACCACTGGAGAAGCAGGTGTAGTGTAGAAAACAGCACTTGGTCTGAAGCAGGAGGAAAGCATGTTCTAATTCCAGAATTGCCACCTTTTAGCTGAGTGATTGGGCAAGTTGCTTGACTTCTCTCAATGAGCGTTTTGGAATATGTTATCATCCCTAACTCACAAGGCTAAATAAGGTAATGGGTAAGAAAGGCTCAGGCTTGGAACACTTAGTAAACACTGGCTAGATATCAAATATTAATTGAATATGAAGTGATCTCAAATCAAAGTAGTAACTTTTTTGCTGAGCACTTGAGGGAATTGAAGGAAGTATAAAGCAACATGCCTGTCCCCAAGGAACTTTCCCTAGAGTTCAGTTGTAGTCTTGTAGAGTGATGACAATATCGAGTGCTCAAAATTGCTAATAACTAGCATGTGGTCAGTGTGCAAGTGTTACAAATGGGTTTTATCTACATATACAGAGACAATTACAGACTAAGCAGGAAAAAACACTGAGGGAGCAAGCGGGCAGTTTTAAGTTCCCATACTGTATCTGGTAGGACACTTACTGGTGGGACGTAGGCACTATTCAAAGTAAAACCTTCTGAATAATGGGTTGGGGGAGTGGAGGCTCCCAGCCTGGGATTTGCCCTCTTCCAGGGAGTCTAGCGGAAGGCTGGGTTCAGCACTGATGACAAGTGGACCTTCACTGACCCTTGGCAGTAGTCACCTGATCCAGTGGATTTTCACTGGAGAAGAACTACAGCTTACACATGAGTTTGTTGTCCAAATAGAAACAAAACCAGAGATGGCCAGAGTTATGGAAGATGAAGACTCTGCAGGTGGAAGAACCCACAGCTCATTGATTATTATTGTTTCAGTCCTCGTACAATGAGAGGACAGGGCTTCGGGAGCCAGACGGGATCATGGTGGAACAGGGCCCAGTATAGCATGCATGAGATCCATGGAAGAATCACAAAGATAAGCAAGGAGAGGCATATAGAACAGAAACAGGGAAGAGTCTGTTCTTGTGGCTTGTCCTAGTGGGGAGGGACAGGTAGTGAACACCAGACCCATGTGGTTGTTTTAATTGTATACTTTATTTTCCTACTATAGCTATATTTGTGCTTAACAGTTTTGTAATGTAATGTGTGTATAGTTTATCGTAGAGGGTGGGCTCAGTCATTTTAAACAAACCATTTTGCTGATATAACCTCCGTAGATATTGCCAAGGAGGGGAAGTGAGTGGGCAGTTCCCATGTCCATGGCAGTCACCTGGTGCCCACCATGGGTGCGCTGGTTGACCTATTCCTTACAGTGTGGTTCTGACTGAGAAGGTTGAGTATGGGCACCTCTCTCTAAAATGGAGAACAGAATGATTGCTGGAGGAATCCACCATACTGGCCGCTCCTTAAATTTCCTCCTATATTTTCTGCACTTGTGAAAACTGTCATCAGCCATATTTGTGGGGGCTTCAGGAATGTGACCCACTCAACCCTGTATCCACTAGTTGCTTGGTTTTAGAAACATCGCTGAGATTTTTGACAAGTGATTTCATGGTTCCTTTATTCCTGTGTGTCAGAGACAGAATATTAACTTTACACTCTAACGCGGATGCACAGAGAAAATATACCTTATTTTTCTTATATCTAGAGTAGCCTTCCCCGCTTCAAGCCCACAGCCAACTCATTAGCAAAGAGAAAATGTAAGTGTTCAAATTTAAGTGTAACTCAATATTAAATCTAAAAGTTTATTTAGAGTAACTTCTTTGGGATAAAATTGCTCAGTCCCCCAGATAGAATTCCTCCTCTGCCTTTTTTGTTCCCAAAGATGCATCCACATGTGTACATGAGAGGTGGTGGTGGTTTATGTGACGTCACAGCCATAGGGAAGATTCAGGGTCTTTGTTCCTTCTCATGTACTCACCCTCCCTGGAAGTATGACTCCTGACCTGACCTTGCTCAGTTCGGTTAGGGCCTTCAAGCACCCTCTGGCTGACTCCCCCTCACCTTCGCTCTCTTAGGCTTTGGCAACTCCTCTGAAGAGACTCCCATTTGGCTTTGGCTGGAGTGTTTCCCTCAGTAGCCTGGGTACTGAGATCCCTCGTCCTTCCCATGGTGATCCTTCTGGAAAACTCTTCCACTGGACTCTCAGGCATTTCTGAAACCTGTCTATGCCACACTGGGGACAAAGATGACTCAGGAAAGCTTGAGCCATACGGTCTGCCTCTGCCTGACTGTGCTGGAGTATCAGGGGGAGGAAGTGTTCCCCCCAGCTCAGTGTGGACAGCCTGGAAATTAGCCTCCTCCTCCCAGGCTTCAATGGCTTGCAGAACAGAGCCTCCGGCCTTCTTGGCTCTCTTAGACTTATCTAACCCACGGCCCTCCTAAGTTCACTGGGCAGTAACCAGCTAGAGCAAAAGCTTTGTTCTGCTACCTCCATATGCTTCTTCTATCTCCTGCTATATCCTGGGCTAGAACGTGGAGGGCTTGTCTTTTGCTTCTATTCCATTTCTTCTTGCACAGAGCGCAATTTGTTC